AAGACAAAATTGTATCACTGAAAGGTGAGACTTAAAGGCAAGATAAGAAGATGTCCAATAGGCCTGCATCGCTCACCTGGTATTAATCTCAATCTTGAAGTCTTAAAAGTGGACTAAAATACAGCTACAGGCAGAATATCAGTGTTTGATTCATAAGAACCTATTAAAAGATCTAAACATATGATGCCTGTGACCTTGAATGTCGAACAAGGACATTAGGTTGAACAGAATGTATAGTCTTCCGACCCAGCATGCTTCTGGCAAAATATCATTTTGATCCTTCTGATCCTTTTGGTTATACAGAACAAATCATTTAAAGATTTAAACATATATTGACCACTGTGACATTGAATATGGGCGAAGGTCATTCACTTGGTAGTCCTTCATCCCAGCATGTTTATGGCCAAGTATCAGCACCCTTGACCTTTTGCTTATTAAGAAGAAGCCGTTTAAAGATTTTTAACATATTTGACCCCTGTGACTTGAATATATGTCAAGGTCATTGATTTGAACAAACTTTGTAGAGCTTTATCCCAGCATGCTACTAGCCAAATATCATCATCCTAGGCCTCTTGGTTATTCAAAAGAAGTTCTTTTAAAGGTTTTTGAACATATTTGACCCCTGTGACCTTGAAAGTGGGCCAATGTCATTCATTTGAACACACTTGGTAGTCCTAAATCCTAACATACTACAGACACAATATCTGAACCCTGGGCCTTTTGGTTATTGAGAAGTCATTTGAAAACTTTAAGACATTTGATCCCTATTTGAACAAGCTTGGTAGCCCTAAATCCCAGCATACTACAGGCCCAATATCATTACCCTGGACCTTTTGTTTATTGAGGAGTTGTTTGAAAATTTTACGACATTAAACCCCTGTGACCTTGAAAGTTGGCCAAGGTCATTCATTTGAATAGACTTGGTAGCCCTTCATCCCAGCATGCTACAGGGCTAATTTCAGTACCATGGGCCTTTCGGTTATTGAGAAGTCGTTTGAAGATTTTACGACATTAGACCCCTGTGACTTTGAAAGTGGGTTAAGGTCATTCATTTAAACAAACTTAGTAGCCCTAAATCCCAGCATGCTACAGGCCCAATATCAGTACCCTGGGTCTTTCGGTTATTGATAAGAAGTTGATTGAAGATTTTAAGACATTTGACCCCTGTGACCTTGAAAGTGGGCCAAGGTAATTCATTTGAACAAACTTTGTAGCCCTTTCTGCCAAGCATGCTTACAGGCCCAATATCAGTACCCTGGGTCTTTTGGTTGTTGAGAAAAAGTCGTTTGAAGATTTTAAGACATTTGACCCATGTGACACTGAAAGTGGGTTAAGGTCTTTCATTTGAACAAACTTGGTAGCCCTTCCAAAATACAGGAAATAATTGATTATCAATTTAATAATTATCAAAAAAGCTAAACAAAACTGCTTATTTACCATCCTCCATTAGGTAGAAGTTTGGTTCTTTATCTTTCTCCACACATTGGAACATCGAACAGCCATCGTGCCAGAATGAATTCAACTGTTTGCACTCCCCTTGCGCACGACAACCTGTACGAAACGTGGATTTATCAATAGGAGAAAGGATTAATTACTACTAATTAACAATTAAGAAAGCTTCGTTTAATTCCATTGTCATTTTGTTTATATTTCATATAACCTTAATTAATATATCACATGCAATAACACACATTGCTTTTGTTGTTCGGCAGGGCCTTATGTAAGTTTGCCAGCTATAGAAATGTGTGTTAAAGGACTATAACAATATTTGCTAAAATATTTACTTTTTGTATTTACATTTTGATAGAGTAGTTATGCTTTTTTTTAGTTATTTCGAACATGCTTTTGAACAGCAAATTGAGTGCTGATAACAATGAAATTGAAGAAGGACGTCAAAATAGCTTTTGATGGCGTTACAATAGCAAATAATTTTATCGTCTCACAAAAACATTTCCCTCTCAATGCATTGTAATGGAAGGATGCAGAGAAAATGTAAATATCCCTATATGAAATACGATTTGTATTTAACAGTTAAGCACAAATTAAAATATTTGTATAGACCTTCCGTTTGGAATTTCGAGACATTGCATTTAATTACAGATGAAAGGTTAATGTATTCCCTTAGTGACCCCATACCTATAAAATAATCATAAACTATAAGGTAGAGCAATAGTGTCAGTAATACTGAATACTGATCTCATACAGACAAGTGGTAAAAACGACTTGTGGATATTTTGCACGAGTAAAACAAGAAGAACATCACAGCACCCTCCTACAAGAACAAAATATGATGTCTGAATTGACAGAAATCGATAACAGCAGGAGGTGACACAAACAACACTAATGTGAACTTACCTTTAGTGATTGGCATGAACCGGTAGCACGTGATGTGGATCTGACACTCGAGTACGTTACAGTCAAGGCTAACACGATCACCCACTTTATGACAAACACCCTCCCGGTCCTCACAACCTGGAATCAGCCAGGATAATGAACCGTTACGTGACTCGGTGTGCTTGTTATAGATCACAAGTGATAAAGTAGAACAGTTTTGTTTTTGTGTAATATCATGACGCTGTATGAAAGTTTATAGTGTTCATACTGTTAATTGTGTTTTTTTTTAAATTAAGTCTGGCATTCATTAACTGATAAATCATTTATCATTTGAATCTTCATTGACACAACAAGTATGTAAAATAGAGTAATTGTTGATAAAATGTGGCGACATCTACTTCTATTCGTCGAAGGGAGTTTAACTCATATTGCCGTGTTACTCCTCTAGCTATATGTTTATTTAAACAGGATAAAACACTCACCTCCCTCGATAAGTGTGTACTCGTTATATACTTCAAAATTCGTACATCTGTAGGTCATACACTTTTCTGTCCATGTTGAATTAGCGTCTTTGCATTGGCCCTTGTAGTCACAACCTGCTCAAAATATTCAAACCGTACAGGAAATGTTACGGATCACATGTGTATCCAAACAGTTTTGTTATATGGCAAGTAAACTGAAACTTCATTATTCCAAACACTGCTAACAAATAAAGTAATCACAGGAGCAATACGTGACGCTATCTGGAAACCCGTGCCAAGGTGCCCGAGCAATCCAATAGAGAAAGAAGTGCTGGTATAGTGTATCTATAATTTTACACCGATTGTTTAAGTTTTATCACCCCTAGGATAGGGTTATAACGGCTATTCTTTCTCCGTTCACATTTAAACATGTACGATTAGTTTGACATATCAAATCAGTTATGTAACGTACATGTGCATACACAGCGTCAACACGCAAGGCCGAAATCAGAATTAAAAACGAAGGAAGCGACTGGTATTACACGAATCCTACAATGTTATTAAGGAAAAGAAGATATGTAACTAAGAAAACTGTAATAAGTTCCAGGAATCGAATGTGATTGAAAAATCTCGTACGATTGTTCTGTCGTGTGTGTAAACTACGTAAGTAATGATTTAATTATCATGTCATGTATAGGGTATCAAAAGACGACTCAGTGTTCATAAAGATCCCACCAACAACTACTGAACCTTTCAATATACAAAAATATAAAGTAATGCTTTTACTATGTATCCGTAATCCTATCTACATTTAGTCACGTAGCGTCCTGGGCTCAGCAAAGCATAATCAGCCTAACGAATAGGATGTTAACTTTTAATCTGATCTGATTTCAAAAGTGGGAGAAATAATGAAAATAAAATATAACGGAAGATGAGAAAATGAAAAAGACAGTCCAGCGATTTCAACCTGGCTCCCGAATGGTTTGTTGATATTTTTGTCAATGATGCGTTGAGCTAATCAGTTCCCCTTTATTTAAAAAAGTTTTCAAACATTCCCAATACATTCTGACATATCTTACTCATACACTGTAACAGCTAGGATGTAGGTTGTTCCGTTCACACCAGCGGACCACATAATACGTACATGCTGGGCTTTTGAAACTATTTGCTACACGTAAAGAATGTACTCCAACAAAACGCACGCCACACCTTCTTCTGAATTCAGAACTTCTGTTGCTTAACTCCATTCTTATATTTTTCTAAAACTTCATTTTATGTTTGAATGTTGTCGCTATGACTACACAACAGTGCAACTAACAGCTGTTTATCTATTGTTTATTTATCTTGGTATCATGTTTATATCTGGAAGATTGTCGTCATAATATTTGTATACACTTGTTACATCATGTACAATATGTGCATTCTGTAATATACTTGGGATAATATATATGGAATCCAGAAACAAGATGATACCATCACAGACTGACTACGTCACACTTACGTAAATAAACGTCCAGAACGTTCCCATAGCATTACGATATGTTCTCAATAGGAGGTACAATACTCAAAAAACAAGGATTTAGAGCCATTGTACTTCATCTCATGAAAAATTTCATCATACCTGTACAACAATGATTAATGTATAAATACTGACTCAATATACAAATATGAAAAGATACTATAGATGTTAGTGCCTTTTCTCACGCCACCGAAAATTTACAAAAGGTGGAATGTGTATGTTGTTTACATAATGCAACACCTGATAATGGAAGTAAGAAATATACTCTTTTGGCTAGTGGTTTACCGGCTATTTAACCAACCTATGATGTATTATCGGCCTATGAGTATATCAGTCTTAGGAGTTGAGTATATACTCTTGTAACTAATGATGTACCGGCTATATAACCAACCTATGATGTATTATCGGCCTTTGCGTACATCAGTCTTAGGAGTTGAGTATATACTTTTGTAACTAGTGATGTACCGGCTATATAACCAACCTATGATGTATTATCGGCCT